CAATTACTCCAGCACTGCTCACGGGTCCTATTAAACACTCCTTAACAACTACTCCATGGTCTCTGCATTTCTCTGGGTACAGTGGATCTAGGAACAGGATGATGGGGAAGAGAGAAAAAAAAAAGAGTACTTCCCTATGTTTAACTGAAAAAAAAAAATGTACATGTGTATGTTTCTGATTGTGAATGCCTGAACATGAGTGCGGGTTCCCAGGGCTCACCAGAGGCATCAGGTCCCCCTAGAGCTGCCTTTGTGGGTGCTATGTCCTGAACTTGGGTCCTCTGCAAGAGCAGTACATGTTCTTAACCATGGTGCTGTAGTCCAGCTCTTCCTCCTCCTCCTTTTAATTCACCTGACTTTGGCTGTGTTATTAAATGTCCCGAACAGCAAGAAGTGCAGCATCTTATCATAGCTGTGTTCCAGATGGTCTGGCCCTCCACTCTTCTTTGTGAATCTATGACTATCTGAAGAACCTTGGGTATCCACTACTAATTTGCCAATGTATAGCTGTATCCTCAACCATAAGACAGCAGTGTGAAGCAGGAACCTTTAAGAATGCATCCCTCCAGGGAGCACTTACTCATATAAATATGTAAATGTCTATACTTTTCTAATACACTGTCTGCTGCCCAAAATACAAGATGCAGAACTACTGATTCTATTCAATAACAACGATTTTAACGTCTGTGTGTGTGTGTGTGTGTGTGTGTGTGTGTGTGTGTATGCCCATAGAGGCCAGAGCAAGATAGCAGTAGGTCCCTGCTCTGTGCTTTGTCATTCTCTGCCTTATTCCATGGAGATAAGGTCTCTCACTATAGCTGGAGTTTGCAGTGCATGTAATCTAGACTGGCTGGTTAAGGAGTTCCCAGGATCTGCCTGTCTCTGTCCCCTGCAACACTGGGGATACAGGTATGCAAGGCCATTTTATAATTTAATTAATTCATTCATTCATTTTCTGAAACAGGGTCTTAGTATGGAACCCTGACTGATCTGGAACTCGTGTAGACGAGGTTGTCCTATAACTCATAGAAATGTGTCTGCCTCTACCTCTGGAGTCCTGGGAATAAAGGTGTGAATCACCACCCGCAGGGGTCAAGGCCTTTTGTCTTTGTTTTTAATGTGGGTACTGGGGATTTGACCTGAGGTCCTCATGCTTGCACAGCTTTCTTACCCAAATGAGCCATCTCCCCTGCTCCCACTTACATGTTCCTGCACAAGCCTGGTTTGTTTAACTTCCTCCCTTACGCCTTAGTTTTGTGCTTGTCAGTTCTTGTTTGAGTAGACAGGTACTATGAAGCAGGTACTGCCACACCTCTGGGATCACTGGCTACCAGCTGTTCTGGTGACCTTCCCTGTCCTGCTGATTGTAATGTTCAGTCAAGGGCTTCCCTTTTTGTATTGCATTTTATAAATGAAATCTTTTCCACATTGACTTTCCCATTCAACTCTCTGATTTCCTTCCCAATTCTTCTTTAATGTTTCATGTAATATTGTGCCCTTAGCAAAATGATATAATTTGTATAATAGCATCAATTAAAATTTGTGGTTTGTATAATTTTCTTCTTTCCAGCTATTATTTAAGAAAGACGGTCTATTTTCTTGACCTTGTTTGAATCTGAATAGTGTTACCCTTTGAGGTTGTGCTTCTACAAACTTTTGTGAATAATTGTACCATTTCCTTACATCTCTTTTCCAACTGTTTTTTTTATATTAACATAAGATAATATTGGTAATAATTATGTCTTGTACCATCAGACTTTGGTTACTGTTAGACATATCTAGGTAAAAATTGTTTCACACATAAGCAACTCAAACTTTGGGAAACCAGGCCTTTAGAATACCTACAGATGGAGGCAGATACTCAGAGGTAGACTTGTGTCTGACGTGTATCAGTAATTCCCTAAGCTAGTGAAAACAGCTATGTGTCAAGAAGTCCACAATTAGCTGTCACACACTTTTTCTGGGTATTTCACTCTACCTGAACATTTACATATGAAAGTTTTGTAATCACGCAGACTACCACCCGCTTCTCACATATGCACACCTTCAAAGAAAAGATTTTCACTGGAATCGTATGTATCATCTTTGATCTTCAGCGACCTTCCTTCCTAAAGATGTTAAAAAAAAACGAACATGGCACGCAATCCAGCCTCTTCTTGAACACTAGCAAATTACACCTTTTATTAAGTGTTAGATAAATTTGAACTGCTCTGTGACTCCACTCAGCACTCTTAATGAAGAGGGAGTTGTGTATTTAGCTCTTAATTTCACCATTGTTCAAATATTATGGAGTCATAACGTGAATCCATTCCTGTACCAGCCCTGGGAGAAAAAACACAATGTATACCTTGATCCTCCACCTCCAAGACGGCGGCTCACTCAATCTTAGAAGCCACCCACCCTACATTTTATGCTTTTTAAATTTTGTTTTCTTCTGATTCTCAAGTCCTTCCTCTTAGACATTAAAATATCACCTGTTTTTTAGAGGCATTTCTAGCATTGACGTGAATGTATTTAAGGTAATTATTGCAATGCCTCCAATAAACTCGAACACAAATGTCAGATTTTCTTTTCTTTTCCAATTCATTTCTATAAAAGTAATATCCAAGCTATTTTTTCCCCCTTTACATAATGCTGTTACTTTTTTTGGCTCAAAATTGATGGGCAACTGATGAAACCACTCGGGCCTCCTGATGGGAACAGAGCATGTTGAAACTAGATCAGGGACAACCCCCTGGGTGGGAACACATGGAATTCAATTACAGTTGATTCCAGCCCCAATGTCCTGCGTGGTTAGAATTGGATGATAGCTCCACACCGGTACAGTGAGGGTTTGGGAATACAAAAAGAGGCCAGGCGAGGCAGGACAGCTAAGCAAATCCCATCTCTACAGGTAGGAACCTCACTGTCCCAAAATGCCCTTTTTATGCTTCGTGAACACTGACAGATGGATGACCTTCAATGTGGTTCCTTTGAAACAAACAAACAGAAAAACACTTGCACCTCCTGTGCGTTTTTTCCACGCCATGTGCTTTTTGCAATGGATGGATTGTGGGTGGGAAGTGTGTTAAAGAGCAACAGCTTGTTCTAATATGTGTTTTCGAGTGTTTCCTGCCATTAGAAGTTTCCTACTTCTATTATACTATAGGTATGTAAGTATACGCATTTCCTGTGTCTCTTTTACAAAATAAGCTTTTGTAAACCAGATTTCTCTGCCATCACTCATTTTTGGATTTGCTTAGTAAACTGACAGAATGTCAACGCTGCATTCACCTAAATTCTCAGATGGTGTCCATCCATCTCAGTTTTCTGCCCTCTCTTGAACAGAACACTTTTTCCACACCCTTGGCAAAATCTGGAAAGCGTGCTTTCTATGCGGTTCTTTAAGACATTCAGTGAAAATAATGGCCCTTTTTCGGTGTGGAATCTTCCTGGTGAATAGCTCCAATTTATCTTGCCTCACAATAAAAACAAATTTAGCTTCCTCCTTCCTCCAATGTATCTAGAAAATCCTCTTATATTTACAATGGTGAGGATAGTGTGTCAAATCTCTTTGTATTTAAGGATGAATAGCTGATTAAGTGGAAGACTTTTCAACTAAGTAATCCATTGTTGCAATCGGAAAAAAAAAGAAAAGCCCCTTGAATAATAAGATTAGTCATCATCAATCTCTCCCTCCCTCCCTCCCTCCCTTCCTTCCTCCCTCCCTCCCTTCCTTCCTCTCTGTCTCTGTCTCTTTCTGTGTCTCTCTCTGTCTCTCTGTCTCTGTCTCCCCCCCCCCCGTGTGTTTGTGTGTGTGTGTGTGTGTGTGTGTGTGTGTGTGTGTGTGTGTGTTTGTGTGGTCTCTTCTGGTTTGCAATGGAGGTAGACTGTCTGCCCAGCCACTGTAAACACAGTTTGTAGATCAGGGCTCACGTGTATGAGTAATGACAGATAACAAGTATCCTTTGGATTTAGTGAAGACAGATCCTATGCTCATCATTGCATTTAGTCCTTACAAACTTTTATTATTTATTTCAAATTATATTTTCATTTTAATGAAACTCTAAAGTATCTTCATAGCTGGGGAGACTTGGAGAAATTGTTACTGAGATAATACTGCACCTCTCACTATTTTACTTGAGAGAAAGTGGACTTTTGGTTTCTTGAAATGCAAGGTTGTTCCTCTAAAATTTAGGAACCTCACAAATACAGAATTAGCTTTTAAGATGTTCATTTAAATAATTTGCTGGAATAAATTTAAATTTGATGGCAAAAGGTCCTTCACATGTATTACTATTCATTAGGGAAGATTTGCTACAATTACTATGCAATTTTGAGTGGTTTTCCAGTGTGCTATTTTGAGAAAAGATCAAAGGATTTCTACTGAACTGATCCCATTAACCATTAGAAATAAAAATATGGATATTGCACAAGCTGCATCTTTTCATTAAATAAATAATCTCAATCATTTAAAGGAATATATCATTTAGTAGACCATATTTTTGAGACTGATTAGAAGATAATTTTGTTCTTCATTTAAATTTGGGTTATTTATATGTAATTATTCAGAAGTGAGTCTAATTAGCCAATAATAGCCAACACATTGATGTTAAAATGAAGGATTTTGAGCTACAACCAGAAAAATAGCATAATGAATCTTCCATTTTCGGGGAACAGAGAGCATCTCCTGAGTACCCGGGCTAGGTTGGCTGGAGGTTCAGTCATCATGTAGGATGGGTGGCTGAAGTTTGCCACTGATGAATGTGCTATCAGCATGCAATGTTCTGGCTTGGGGCTATTTTTTTGTTTGGTTGATTTTTTGTTGTTATTGTTGTTGTTTTGCCATATATAAATTTAATTCTCCAGAATACTTGGATAAAAGTTAATAGAATATGATCATAAAAGAAGAAAGGCACATATATCATTCTTAATCTCCTTCCCCTCCCTTAATCTCTTTCCCTCCCTCCCTCCTGCATTCCCTGCTCCCTCCCACCCTCCCTTCCTTCCCTGGGCCGGAGATCAGACTGCTACCCTCTTATGCTTGGCAACTGGTCTACCTCTGGGCTACAACCCTACCCCTTTTCCTTCTTACTTTTCTAAACTGGTACTTTGGAATGAAAATTTACATTGAAGGAAGTTAAACTGCAAGGAAAATTTATTCTAAATTACTATAATAAGAAAGCGGGATTAGAAATCAGTCTGAGTTTATGGGGGCAGGGGGTGGCGCAGAGGAGGCAGAGTTTTTAAAAGAAAGGATGGGAAAAAAGGGTGATTGTTTTGGGCCAATGGCTTCAACCAGAGGAAGTGTCTCCTCAGCTAAGTTAAAGTGTGGGGCTGGCTCCTCCCTTCCCAGAAGAGAACTAGAGACTGAGGGCGTTACCTCCCTTGATGTTTACATTACAAAGGGATGGTTCCCAGTTCTTTCATTTAAATAGACTGGGTTCTTAAAACTGGAGAGAGGCTTTAAAAATATTTACACATCAAACAACCAGAATAAGATTTTGAATTACAAGTGTTCAATAGAATGAAGTATTAGAAAGCCACAGGGCAGGAGAAAGCGGGTCTGTTGATGAGACAACGTAAAGTTAAATCGCTCGGATTTGCCTTCACCCCAAATTATGTCAGTACCAATGTTATCTAAAATTTTAGAGTCCCAGCCAGGGCAGGCATGTTACCAGAGAAGTTAGGGCCCCTCTCAGGTTTTTAGTCATGTTACTAGAAGAGCCACACAGAGGAGAAAGCTCAGGGATAATTTTATTAGAGTTATAAGAAAAGCCCAGGGCAGGCAGGGTTCGTGGAAGGCAAGGTTCCTAGCAGAGGGACATAGAGACAAGGAAGAAGCAAGCGTATTTTAGTTAGACAAGGGTTTGGTAAGCAGGCAGCCGTAAGGAAAGGGGAGCCTTTGGGGTGTTTGTGGGGAGCTTCAGAGAAAAGAGAAAGCCCCAAATACCAAAAGTACCATGCAGAACGTAAGTAAGTTCTGCCAACTTCTGAAAGGGACAGAAAAGAAGAAAAGGCGGGTTGCTGGGCCGGCCGGGGTCACGCTTTCAGAAAATCGGGCAGGCTGAAACCAGCCACACAGCAGCAGCTCCAGACAGGGTTGAACGGAGCACAGGAATGGAATTCCGGGCAGGGAGCGTAAATCTGCGTTCCTGGGAATGGGTGGTTCCTTGGCCAGGTATTGACCTGCCCAACTGGATGAATTCTTAAGCGGGGGAGATAGCAACATGTTTTCCACCCAGAAGCAGATTCCATTCTTTAGGCTAGGAAATGATGACTAACACTTGAAGACCAGGGGTGGGGTGAAGGGACAAAACTCAGAAAGGGCTTTGGTTTGTTCCCCTGGTCCCAAACGTGAACCTTTATTGACCTTTCTGTAATGTTTGGGTTTTGTCTTTTAATATAATGACACAGATGGATTTGGGCTATACTTGATTAAGTACCTGAACAGCATTTTTAATATTTGTGATATGAAATGGGATGTTTTAGTTATGAGGACTAGTTATAATCCATCCGGACTTTGGCAGCAAGCCGAGCTCCTTCGAGATGCAGCCCTTGCCGACGACGTTGGTGAAGGTCGTTCGGTACTTTTAATGCTCAACTTCTCAGTCTGTGTGAAGGGAAGGGATGAACAGGGTTATTGTGAGGTTGGTAACACAGAGGAAGGACACGCATTGCCCAGGTGAGTTTCAGGCACGTAGGTGGTTATTGTGAGGTTGGTAACCCAGAGGAAGGACACGCATTGCCCAGGTGAGTTTCAGGCACGTAGGTGGGATTTAATGAGTAACTGTGATGAATACAGCAGTGGGAGAAGGTGCAGCTCCTGGCGTAGGGTGGGAAACAGACGCCTTGTTCTGCTCCATAGTAAGATTTCTGAATCCGCTACATAGATTGCTCTGAATGGAAAGGGCACACCGCAGCCCTTTTAGTATTAGAGAAAATGGGCTCCATTAAAATGTTTCCTCAGGGGCTGAAAATATAGCTCTGTTGGCAGGTACTTACTTAGCATATATGAGGCCCTGGGTTCAAGTCCTAACAGTGCATCAACGGGGTATGGAAGTGTATATCTATGACCCTAGCACTCAGGAGGTAGACACGGGAGAATCAGACAAAGGTCTACCTCATAGCAACAACTACATAGCAAATTCAAGCCAACCAGGGTTACGTGAGACACTGTCCAATGAGAGAGAAAAGTCTCAACTAACAGATGATTGGCTGCTTGTATAATTAGTGTATACATACTCTTACCACATTTGGTTAAACTTGAAAATACTATATACACATATATCTGTATCTACTATATATACATATATATGCAGATACAGTGTCATACTGCACTAAACAGCAATACTCATTCACTAAGGGCCACAAAATACACTTTAAGCAGCTTATATATGTCCAGCATCAAAGTACCAACTTTGTGATATGTGACTCATATCACAACTTTATTAGAAAATGTTAAGATGCCACAAAGTCTTTCTACAGTATAGCACATACCCTGTTGTGCTTTGGAAGGACACAATACCATGCATTCCCACACTCTAAAAACTCACCAACCATGAAAGGAGAAATGAAATGTATTCAGAAAAATATTGTCTAAATCTATCTTTCATGAAAATCTGAAGCCCTGGAAGAATGAAGCTGTGTTCTATTGTAATTGGTGCCAAATCCCTGTTTTGATAACAAAGTTGGTTTCCTGTGGCGTTTTCTTGGTACCTTATTAATTTTGTTTCCTCAGCTGCTAGAAGGGGTAAGCCGGCATTTTCTGAATTCCACTCCATGGGGCATGCTGCCTCCATGAAGAGCCAATATGCTTTCTTGTCATCAGCTCATATGTTCCAAGGAGCAGCAAATGTTACATTTGGCGCCAGCTCTCAGGGCTCATCCCCACACACTGACATGTTAAAGAGGTCACTGTCATCATGATTAGATCCTCACTCAGTCACACACTGTTATACAAGCCTGGGAGTGGTAACAAAACAAGAGACACTTTAATAAATTGTCCAGGTTAACAAAAAAAAGCTGTGTTAAAGATACCAGCGCAACAATCAAATACATTTAAAAATAGTAATAAACTTCTCTGTTTGTTTTTAAAAAGAAAGACAAGTATGAGCTGGCTACATCTGGACATGCAGAAACCCTTTGTTTCATTGAGTGAACTTGTGAAATCTGGGTATCTGAGTTCAAATCCAAGTTCATCCCTCTGATGGGCAATCAAAACCAGATCACTGAACCTGTGCTCCTGACTTTAGCACCTGCAAAATGACATGAATAATATTAAATGCGATGCCATTATTGTGCTAATAACAATGAGACTGGGCCTGTGAATTGCTCAGTGTAGTCTGCTGCACATAAACCTGGATAGAAAATAGCTATTATTAGTACTAGCAAATAAGGAGCAAATCATATAATCAAGGAAATAAATCTACTTCCCAAACCTAAAGGATGCATTAGTAGCTGGCACTTTAGCCTCTAGCAAGGTGTTTTTATAACGTGCTTCTGAAGTCCACCAGCGTACAGAGTCTGCTTGAGGACTACTACAACTGAGTAAGACAAGATCTGCATTTCAGCTTCATGTGCTTGCTCTGCTGCATGAGAAAAAGATATACGTCACAAGATATTTTGATTTGGGGGAAGAAAAAAGCCTAGGGCTTTGCCCCCACAGAGTTTTTGAGACAAAGAATGATATCTCTTTTCTTTTGGTTCTTCTTCCTAAGACATTCAAGGATACTCTGTGCAGCATGGTCATCCCACCCACACAAGATCCAACCCCGTCCACTGTGGTTGGTGGCTTGTCTGCCATATTTTTCCAGTCTAGTCCTAACAGGGTCCCTTCTAATAGGCTCAGAGGGGGAGGTATCTAATCTTTCACCCTGGCTATTACACTTTAACTGGAAAAAAAAAATATGATCATTTCCCAGTAAAAGAAAGTTGAGCCAACAGTAGCTCCATGCCTGGAATATGTAAAGATGCTCCCCAAGGTGAATACACCTAGTTCTAAATCAGGAGGCCTGCACTCTACCCCACTACCCAGAAAGCCTGGGGCTTCGAAGGGTGTCGTGCTGACACCCCAGGCAGGAAGTGGGACACCTCAGACTCAGAATGCACTCACAGTAGCAACTCCTCCCTGGATTTCATCCAGACTACATTGTGGACTTTCAGAGAAGGAGAGGAAAGAAGAGAAAATTTTAAAAAGAAGCTCTAAAACCTAATCAAAAGAGTTCTTACTTCTAAGAGAGTAAACCACATCAGCTCAGATAGTCTTAGATGATTGCTTTCATGATCCCTAAAAATGTAAACTATCGTAACAAAAATATGAAAGACGGAGATATGTAGTTCACTCCAACAATTGCAGCCAGAGAGCACTGATCCATTAAAGATAGGAAGTTTCTTGGATAAACAGAAACACGCTCCCATGCAGTGCCACAATTGATGGTCTAAAACAACATGGCCATGATTCAGAGGGCCATTTTTGCCACCTGACTTCACAAGGCACTTCATGAAAGGGAAGTGTTCAAACACAACTATCCCTTCAGAGAGAGTGTCCCTGGTCATCCCTGCTTCGGCCAACTGAACCATGGAGGGAGGTCTGTACCACAGATTGTCTAACTGTTGAGACAGCTGCTGAATCAGTTGTTTTTGTAAGAAAGACATGGAGAAAATAAATAGGTCATCATGCTTTTATAAAGACCTTTGATCATTTCACAGCAGGTGATCAGTTGCTACCCTGTCTGCTCTGAGCCTCAAAGTGACCCTTGGTGACATACAATTCAAGTGTCATCATCACGTTCTGAGCAAGAAGTGCTGGACAAGGGTACTGAGTTGCCCACCACTGCTTTAGCAAGTTAGGGACAGTTTCTGGATTAGAAATTAATGCTCAATCCAGTATTATCCTGCTCACGCTGCATCAAATATGGACGATTTGGTGGGCATGCAGAATTCCATCAGCCAGGGACAGCTAGATCCAAGAGGTGAAGAGGACTGTGCCCGGGAGAGACAGAAACACACAGCTGCTGAGGGCAGGTGCCTGCTGTTCTGTGCTGTTACGTGCTCAAGGAGAAAATGACAACAGATTACTCTGCAATCATGAGTGTAGACGCATTAAACGGAAGGAAGTGTAATAGTCACAGACTTTAGGCTTAGGAAGCCTAAATTACCTAAGCTCGTTGAGACTGTTTCTTTCCCCTTAATACCCATAGCCACAGAGCTATGGCATGTGGGGAATAAATCCGATAATACGTACATAGAGCACAGCAGAGAGCCTCGTTAGCAATAACTAGGAAAGACAATAGTTGTTTGCTTAGTAAAATAGGAGAATAAATTCAGGTTTTACAGTGAATCAAACATGATTGGAGCTGCACTGAGCACCAGTTAATGATTACGGAGTATTAGAAATATCTACGATGGATACTGTTTGGGAGGAAGTTAAGAGGCTTTTGCTAATACTGCATATTTACGTTAAGCACATCTGAGGTTTGGGGAAATAGTCCATGGAGTTTTCCAAAAGTCTGCCTTTACTTATAAAAATCACATGAAACAAAAACTCGGCTATCAGCCTCCGTCAGGGAGCTGAGAGAAGTGTCACAATACCCACACATCCATGCACGTGTGCTTGCGTGTACAGTGCCTCATGCTCTAGCCGGAATCATGGTACCCTATCTACCTATAACCAGGTTCTGCACACATCCCTGACTCCAGGCCTTGGCATGATCCTTTGGTGTTGTGTGAGACTGACGATGCTTTCTAGGTCCATGGATTTCTGAGTGTTGCAGGAATAGAAACTACTTCCCTTATGAAGAAGCGAAGAATTCAGTAATAGAGAGTAGCATCTACATCTTAATACATGGGTCCTCTTACTTCGTGCTTTTGAAATGTAATCCATTTGGATGGAAACCATATTTAAACGCTCAGCCTCCTTGGCTTGGAAACTGGTGTGCTCCGCTGCTGTTTGTGTGACTTTTCTTCTGCCCAACTGTTGAGGGTGTTTGGTCGGAAGAGGGCCTGCTTTAGCACCCTCATACCAGCAGCAGCAGGACTGACAAGGACTTTGAACTTCCACAACTGCTCTGTGGAAATGATAAACAGCTCTCGCGGTTAGCTATCAACTACTTCTTCATAGCCCTCTGGACTACTGTCCACTGCTATGGCAGTACAAAAGAAACCCACACGATGAAGTGAACACTGCTAACTTGGCAAACTTTGAGTAACCAAGTGACTTCAGACACTAAGACTAAGCAGTATGTTATAAGGGAGTGTAGAAAAAGCAGTGTGATATTTGCATTAATGCATTCTTAATAATTAATCCCAGTTCTTCCAATTTTCCTCTTTCTTGTTAGGTGGTATGGGAAATGGAGGTTATGGATGTATAGAGGTAAAAATGTACCTTTCTAAAAAGCTTCATTTACTATTACTGAGTGTGTGTGCATGTGTGCATATAACGTATGTGTGGTCATCTGCATGCCACAGCACACATATGGAAGTCAAAGGACAGTCTTGTGGACTTGGTTCTTTCTTTCTCTTTACATGGGTTCATGGCTTCCAGGGATTAAACTCAGGTCATCAGACTTACACATCCAGCACTTATGTGATGAGCCATCTTGAAAGCCCTAAACACAGGTCTTATTCAAAAGCATTCAATCCTTGTAATCCCAGTACTTCAAGGGCAGTATGAGCTATGTAGTGAGTTCCAGGTCAGCCTATAGCTGGGTCTCATCCATGTATGCATGTATACTTACACACACACACACACACACACACACACACACACACACACACACACACACACACACACACTCACACACACACATTCATAGATTCTCTCAGAAGAATACTGGAATTTGCAATATTAGTGCAAATGCTTTACTCGTTTGCTTGACAACTTCCCTCAAAACTTTGAAATGAATCACACTTGCATAATGGTAACATTCATGCTATTTCACTCCTAGACATTGACCAACTCACATCAATCTCTTCCCATAATCCATTAGGAAACATACGTCCTTCTCAGCAGGTATACTCAATCTTCATTAGAAGTTAGAAGGTAGAGAAATTGCTAAGAAATAGAGTCGCCAGAAACTGTCATCAAAGAACATATAATCTAGTCTGAAACGGAGTGAAATCTAACAGAAATGTAACATTTCAGGAAAATTCCATCACACTATAGAGTCTGCACTGTACCGAGCGATGCATGCCTGAGACTATTTATTTATTTTAAATGTCATCAATGTTCCTGGCTTACTTCCTATGACAGTTGGAAAAGTCAATGTCAGCACCATGGAGCTCTTCTCATCTCTGGTTGCCTGTGTGCATTCTTGCTATTCTTCTCATGGCGTGTTTGTTTCTCATCAATGGGTGCATGTTGCTTTGATTTTAGAAGTACTTACTCTTGCATTGCCATAGGGTCTACACATATTTTCTCTCGTCCCTTCCACTTGTACTTTTACCTTGTTAGTGGTGTCTGTCAGTTTACTTAAGGAGTCCGTGCTGGTCTTTTCATTTACGGCTCATGTCACTGTCCACCATGTGTAGATATGATAAGCTTTATGTCCACTTTCAGATAGCGTCCCAGTTTCCCAAACTCATGGTTCTGCAGCCACTCTGGGTCAGTTCATTTTCTCAAGAGCAAACCCTTTCCTTCCTCCAGATCATTCCAGCTGTGCTGCTGCTACTTCAGAATCATATATTTAATTATGTGTATTCGTACGTCTGGGGGTGGGTATGAGCACAAGAGTGTAGGTACCCACAGATGCCAGAGAGATGTAGAATCCCCTGGGGCCGGAGTTAGAAGCGGTTGTGAGCTCCAAGAGCACTATGTGCTCCTGAGCTCTTAACCACTGAACTGCCTCTGCAGCCCTGATGTTACTTCTTATTAGTGGACTCCTCTGGCTGTTTGGTTTTGTTTCCTGTTTGCTGGTTTATTATTTTTCTTCCTTTTTGAGACAGAATCTCATTGTGATTGGTCTGGAACTTGCTATACAGCTCAGGCTGGCCTCTAAACAACAGAGACCTGCCTGCAGGCTTTCCGGGTGCTGAGATGAAAGGAAAATGCTACCCTTTCTCATGCCTCCGAAACATCCCCTGTTCCTGCACAGCACGTAGAGTTTTCTTCCACCGCAGTTCTCTCAGATTTTATGTTATATATGACTTCAAATGCTTGTTGTGTATATAGTTGTCTTAGTAAATTTCAAGTCTGTGAGGGGATACATCAAGTATGCTTGGTTACCTGCTATTCCAACCTGTCCCTGGACCCTGACTATAGCGTACTACGTAATTGTGCTTAGAGCAGGAGGGGAAATTCTTAGAGAACACATCATCAAAGATAAATAAAAAACTAATTATACAGAAAGGAAGAAAATGAACCTGTGAGCAGTAGGAAAGTAGAACTTTCTTTTACATGGGGAAGCTTGGAAATTAAAAGTAGTGCTGTGGCTATACCTGTCTCAATCAATAAAGAAATGGTAAGTTTGAGTAGGTACCTGTGAGTGAAGCACCAAGGCCCAGGAGAAACTAGATTCACTTGTACTTTACTAATCACCATGATGCTTTCAAGGGTTTTTTTTGTTAATAAAACTAAATGGAGTAACTTACCATATGAAAATTCTAGAAGCGTTGCAGATGATGAAGCTAAGGACATGTAGTTTACAATACAGCGGTCTGTAAATGCCTTGATACTCTAGCTTCCCCTAGCTAAGAGGGCAAAGGTGCATTTCTGTGTATCTTCATGTTAAATGTAAGGAAAGTCATGAAGGATGTAGTCTCTCAGCAGCCTCTTTCTCATGAGAAGCCAGTTGAGGCAGCACCCCACCTTATAGGTGACTGTCATACAGGCACACTATGACCTCTGTGCCTAGCATCCTGCTTCGTATAAAACCTGAGTTTCAAGAGAAGATAATAATTCTCTTGATTTCGGGCTGGAGAGATGGCTCAGAGGTTAAGAGCACCGACTGCTCTTACAGAGGTCCTGAGTTCAATTCCCAGCACCCACATGGTGGCTCACAACCATCTGTAATGATATCTGGCGCCCTCTTCTGTATACGTAATAAATAAATAAATCTTTTAAAAAAAATAATTTTCTTGATCTCAAAATGGTGGCCCCTGAAGCTTCCTTTAAACATAGGCTTTGGCAGTTAGGGAAAGAGCAGAGAAAAAAAAAAAAATCAGATATCCCATAGCCAATCAGATTGCAGTGTTGTACTGGTCCCTCCTTCCTACTGAATCTCCTACTCACTGAGGAAAAACTGACACCACCCAGCATCCCGTTTCTCAAGCCTCCTGTTTGCCCTCCAGGAGTGAACTGCAGAATAGGTAAGACATAGTAGGAGCTGGCAGACAAGCAAGAGGGGTTTGAAATGCAGAAAAGCTACTATTTCTCACAAAACCCCAGCAGAGTTTTAAATTCAAACACGCCACGCACATCCCTGCGCCTTTCATCCTGCGAATGTAGTGTCTAAGCATGCCTTCTTCAGAGTGATCACATCACACTGGCTTATTTCAGCCTCTGTTATAGCAAAGGACAAAAATGAGAAAAATAATAGCCCCCTTTTTTTGTTGCTGTTAGGTATAGGAGAGAAAAAATTGTACTAATCTCAATTGGCGAACACCCCAGGAGCCTACAGTTCCAATTTTCTTTTCACAGTATTAATGAAACTGGGTGTGGGAAAAGTCAAATCTTCCCCATAAATCTGAAACCATTTTCAAGGCTTGCCTCAAATTATAATAACATCCATATATAAGACACGGCATGGAGATCTATTCCAGCGAGATTATTTTAGGGAAGTGGTTTTCTAGATGGGGTAGAGATAGAAATCTGAATGTAATTACTTTAAGTTAGATCTATGATAAAACCAGGAGACTTTGCAAAAAAAAAATCTAATCTATACATCTTGCCAACAGTGTTTTAAAAGGATCGTCCTAAGATAAATACCTATCCAGTGGTTCTACTTAGCAATGTGATACATATAGAACAGTCTGGGGTTTTATGATCCTACATATGCCCTTCCACTTCTGAAATATATAGCTCACATTCCAATTTTTATCATTGGTATGTTTTACTCTTTCTTATTATTTCTTAAGACTGGTAATTTCTTAGTCTTTCTTAAAGCTCAAATGCCGAATTTTCATTGTCATCAGTATACAGACATGCCCATGTTTCATCCTTGATGTGACAGGGACATGCTTGATGTCAAAGCTATAAGTTAGTGCTGTGCATTGAGGAAATAAAACCATCCTGGAATACTGCCTGGAAACTACAGTCTTACCCTGAAAGAGAATTTTGGAAACAACATAAATATAATAAGATTACAGTGGAGGACCTGCTCATTCAAGTGCACAAAATGGTTTCATAAAAATGGCAGTTTGAGTGATAAAGAGAGCATGTGATGGCATGCCACTGCCTTGGCAAACTTATTATTGGAAATATAAAGTGTCCCTATCTACGGCCAAACAAACCCTCAGTCTAGGTTTTATGGATTGAGACCTTAAATAGCATTTCTCATCTAGATTTTTATTTATTCTATTTTATTAATTCTGCTGCTATTGTAGACAAATCCAAGGCTTTGTGAATGAATGACTTATACACTACCATTGAACCTTTCAGGCTGTCCAGTTTCATTTTGTTTTTATTTATTCTTTGAGAATGGCATACTTATATACAATGATGAAGTATCCAACTACTTTCTGAATACTTATCCTTGTGCCTATAAATTACTACAGGTTTCACCCCTCATTGAAGAAGCTTCTTTTTCCATCTTTATTATTTTTTTATTTCTATTTTGTTTTTAATTGTATGTAGTACATGCAAGTGAATGAAACACCCATGGAGACCAAAAGAGGAGTTGAGTCCCCAGGAGCTGTAGTTACAGGTCATTGTAACACCCCTGGCGTGTGTGACAGGAACTGAACACAGGTCTTCTAAAGTACAGTATATGCACTACTAACCTCTGAGCCAACCACCTCCATTTTATTTTTCAATAACAATATTTAGGGCTTAAAATGTGACTCAGTTGGTTGAGTGCTTGCTTGGCGTGTAGAAAGCCCCAGATTCAACCTTTAGCAACTCATAGATCAAATACGATATGCATATGTGTTATCCCAGCCCCTAAGGTGTGGACACAGGAAGACTAGAACTTCACTGTTAGCTTCAGCTACAAGTATGTAGTTTGAGGCAAGCTTGGGAAGCTTTAGGGTGCCTCAAAAAGAAAGAAAGAGAGAGAAAGAAAGAAAGAGAGAGAGAGGGAGGGAGGGAGGGAGGGAGGGAGGGAGGGAAGGAAGGAAGGAAGGAAGGAAGGAAGGAAGGAAGGAAGGAAGGAAGGAAGGAAGAAAGAAGGAGGGGGGAGAGAGAGAGAGAGATTGATTTTGATTGTTGTGTTTCCAATCTCAAAAAGAGTTACCAAGATGCCAAATATTTCCCATTATATCTTAACAATTTTGGAAAGTCATTTACTTTTAAAACTCGGTCTTTTAAATTTTTTACTTTATAACAGTAAAATCTTGCAAAACAATTGTGACTTCTATGCTTTCAGCTTTCATGTTCTAAAGGGTACCTAGGTACAGACATGTGAGTGGAGTACTTGGCTCTGACACGAAGCTCCGTGCATTCGTGAGCCTCTCATGGTACCTTCTGTTCCATCTACGGAAGAATGCTTTGAGGGTTTTTTGTTCCCATTTTTATTTGTTCGTTTTCACTCTATAGCTCTTGCTGGTCTGAAACTTGCAATGTAGACCAGGCTGGTAAAGGATCCACATTTAAACATTTTAGACAATAAAGAATATTTTACATCATGCTTTGAACTTGCCAGTTTGGCAATCAGTTCTGCCCTTGCTTAACACCTCGCTTAATAATGCAAGAATCCAAGGAGGCAGAGCTCTGAGCAGTGCTGCTTTTCCCGGTGCGGAAGGACTCATCAGACACATTCTCACAAGGGCCATCTTCGAGAACCAGTCAGGAGCTGGGAAAGAGAGGGACAGAAGAGACACAGAGAAAGACACGGAAGCAGCAAACAGAAAGATAAATTCAAATTTAAAAAAAATTGACTTAAAATTTTTTTATGCAGTGTGGCAAATACCATTTTTTTAACATAACAAAAACACTGTAACAAATCCTTTGGATGTTTTATTGCTACAAGGACTCATCCTCTGGGAAGAGTGGTTGACAGTGTGATAGAGAAACATGCTAGCCCTCCTAACACTGGAAGGCACATGCTCGTCTAAGTTGCCACAATATTAATCAGACTCTGAAAGACATGCGAAGGTTCATGGATGTAGCATACAAGATTCTCCATCAATCTGCTGGACCAAAATAGACCATGTCAAAACTTTCAAGATATTTGATTAATGGGGGACACTAGAGAGAGAGAGAAGGGAGAGGAGGAGAGTGAGAGGAGAGGGGACAGAGGAAGAAGGAAGCTAAAGGGAAGAGAACGGAATTAAAATGCCACTCTTCTTTGTCCTTCAAGGTTACTGTCCATGTAGGTGTCTCTTTCATAGCTTTGACTAGGTATGAGAAGTGAATATGAGAAAGAGAGCTGACTGTGAGGTCCTGACCCTGGGCAAAAGCTTTGCATTCTTGTCAAGGCCATCAGTAGCCTCCTAATCCTTTAGAGTAAATTGCCAACTAAAGTCCAAGGCCTTTGTGTTACTATCAGAATGGACACACCCTCTCTCCTCTTTTGTAGGGGTACCGTTTTACAGTCAATACCAGCTGACTCTGTTAGCTAATGACATGATTCTGCATGTTTTTTCTATAAAGTAGAGGACATGGCAAGTGCATGGAGGAAATTTGGGCAATATAAGAATGTATTGGTATTGTGTTTTCTTCCATCCATATAGTTCATGATTTTTTTTTTTAAGTTTATGAGCCAAGATAAGTGGCTTACATACTTAAGAGATTCACCTACTCATTGTTTTCCCCTTTGCTGGTCACGTGGCCTTGAAGTGAAATATATATGACCACTGACATTTAAAACATTTCCGTTTCTCATCATACCTCATCGCTTCTATTTCTTGGCTTTAGTGACCACCATGAGCCTGTGGAGTTTACCAACGGCACAGGCCTTCTGTGTCCCGAGGCCCAGTGTGATGAACTGGCTCTAACACTCTGCATTTTTCTTACCGTCAGTGTCCGTTTGGGACCATTCTAGACTTAAAGTTCATTTGCATGACGTTCTTCCTCCTTTATTCTTTTTCATTTGTTTTTTAAAAGACATTTCATCACATTCTGTGACAGAGAGAAGGAAAATGAATGGAAGGGAACTTCGGTTCATTCATAAATATTTTACTGTGGTTTAGAAAGAATGTGTTGCTATCATTATAATCATTAGAAATTTCGTATTTTATATTTATTATGAAGCGTGAAAAATGCAAAATTCTCCAAGTCATGAAATATGTGGGTTAATTATACAGTTCTCTGATTAAAATCCTTTTCTTTTATTGTCTTTCATAACTAGTTAAAATATGACTGCCTTCTACTTTATGTATTTTTGAAATGCATTATATAAGAGGACATTTAGCCTGAGTATCATTTATACATTTTCTACATTCAAATTAATATGAAATTTCCTCAAAGATTTTTTCCAGTGAGCATCAAAAAAGCATTAGTGACAATATTTTTAATTCATATATGTATTTAAAGTTATGTAACCTGTTATCGTATATCTATCTGGGAGAGATGTCTCATTAACATATAAATACGTTTGACCTTATAACAAAAGTTAAGAGAAATATCGCTTAGCTTGCAGATTTGAAACCTAAATAGATGTAATTATTGTTTAATCAAGTAGATGTGTAAATAACTGTATAGTCTGAGCAGATATATAACAATACCTATATAAGTGACTGTTAAAATGTTAATGTGAGGGGAATGATAAGATGTTTTTTCATTGGGTTTTGATTTTAGTTTTCTGGAGAGTGTTTTATATGTTATTTAAAAATACGATATTTAGAATCTCTTAAAGTGGGTTAGCCAGAGGTATTTTTAGCTCTCATGTGACTTAGGCATTTTGGCTGGTGTTGCAGAAGAGGAAAGTATACTTCTTAAATGGGAGATGCTTATCAAAAGCTTACAGAGCAAAATTCAGAGTTTGCTTTTGTCTTTGTGGTCTCCTTCTAGAGCGAGCACATATCTGTTTTGAGATCTACATGCACAGTTGTTTTTAAAACTATATCAGATATATTCAAGAAAAGTGAGATTAATAGTCTAGTATTAAAATATCTAACACCAGTTCCTAATTGTGCATACACACCAACATGCATTGTTGCCATAGTGAATTTAAATCTTGAATTCCGTTAGAGCCCCCAAGTTGTAGTATCATAAACTAAGTGACTGGGATTCTAGCTCATTGTCCCTTTATTTCCTTCTGAAAAATGTGAAGTTATTATGAAAATGTATTTCAGCATTCCATCATCAGGTGTAGGAAAAAAATGATTTAGGTAACATTTAAATACAATTGCCTTTTCAGCTCTCGAGACACCCTGCTAAAAGAGCGTTGTGCCAAAGGCACACACAGAAAGTTGTCATTTCAGGAAAGTTAGCAGCTGAGCTAATTGGCACACTTTGGCAAAGATGACTGTATTTAAACAGAAAGAGCTGCCTTTGGTGTGCCTGGTGCTGACAGGGTTACAGCAGCAGGCTTTTCAGGGGAAATTAATTCCCTGTAATCAAACACTGTGGATTATAGTCTTTGTTCCTCTCCACCTTGGCCACAGAAACAACGCCAAGCCTTTTTAGACAGCATTACAAGAACTTTTGTAAAACAAGCCGTGACATAATCCACACCGGAGGGTTTCGCCTGCTCTATACTGTAGATGCAGAATGTAGCTCCTCGCTGCTGTGAGACTGAGAACCAAGGCTTTGTAAGCAACTGTGTGGATGGGGATTCGTTTGATGAAGGAAAAGAAACTAACAGCCAAAAACCTATATTTATGCAAAAGAAATCTTAGTGATGTTTGAAAATTGGATTTCTCTTTTTAAATTTTTTATTACATTTTGTGTGTGTGTGTGTGTGTGTGTGTGTGTGTGTGTGTGTGTGTGTGTGTAAGTTCATGTATGTGACAGTGAGTTTATGGTGGTTAGTGGACAGCCTGTAAGAGTGAGTTGTTTCCTTCTACCAGATGTGGTCTGGGGATCGAACTCAGGCTGTCAGATATGTCTTTATCTGCTAAGAAACCTTGCCCACCTTTAAAGTGGGTTTTTTAAGCAGCATAGGGCTCTGTGCTTTGGGAAATGTTTCTGAGTAATTAGCGGATACCTTTGTAGAAACATGCACAGTCAAATATGTATGTATGTAAATACATTCGGTACATCTATGGAATCTTGAAATGGCTTTACAAACAGTGTGCATACTTCTGGAAGTTGTGACGTTCTTAACCCACTGCAACAGAAAAGTGATCTAGTTCTTCCCTGTAGGATAAGGTAAACAATGGCGGAGAGTCAAAGAAGGAAAACAAAAAGTAAGAAGTTATAGAGAAAATGGTCCGGGTTCAAGGTGGTTTTTGGTTGTTGTTTTGTTTTGTTTTGCCCTAGCTTCCAATCTTTGAAGGTAGAAAGAAGAAAGTTTTCATTATTCTCATAGCCTTACCTTCTATACATCCCAGGGGCTTTCTTTGTGTTCTGTGGACAACCTCAGTGTCTACCTAGACCTGGAGAAGATATTACACATCCTATATTCCATTCTTGTGCCCAAGGGAGGACTTTGCCTCTCTTTATGGAAGTTTGGGTGAGGGTTTTGTAGCTGTCACACCAGGCAAATGTTCTTTTCTTGTATCTTTTATTACTATTTATTACATTATGAATTTTGTCTCAAAACCAATCTAGAATATCTTTTAAATGGAGAAAGAGTACATTCTTGCATTCCTCTCCAAAGTTCCTAAGTGGGAGTATTTATCACAGGCATGCACCACTATGCACAAGTAAGGTTTAGCTTGAAGGTCACTAGCCCACTGCCATTGTATATGTAAATGTATACTTATTAGACCAATGAATTTCCAACACAAAAGGAAAAGAGTTGTCTTTTCATTTACAATCATGTAACTCAAATTATACTTTATAATGCAAGTAATGAGGGCTTGACAGATGGCTCCATGCTTAAAAGCATGTACCTTTGTAAAGGATCTGAGTTCCGTTCCTAGCGATCTGGTCAGATGATTCCTACAGCTCCTTGAAAGTCCAGCTCCATGAGATCCAATGTTTCTGGCCTCTACAGTCACCAGAACTCATTTGTGCTTACCCACACACAG